TATAAAATCAAATAAGATGGATTTGAGTTCTAATACACTTTAAATCAAATTCTGACTGCCATGCCTATTTTAGCAAAGGCACCGGATGCATGGATTGGGCTTAACCCCTACCCCCCTTTTTTTTTTTTTTAAATTTATGACCGGAAACATTGCATGAAAATGTGTGCATCCCCTGCTCATCACACCCATACATCAATTCATACAATTATTTTTTCATTTTGGTCGTGTTTTAAAAATTATTTATTTAAAGATATTTAATTAAACTTTTATTAAAAAATACAATTGGATGGTAACGACATGAGCTGTTATTTCTTATGCGAAGCTTTGGAGGATTTGATGTGTGTCTATCATAACCGCCAAGACCACGAGCTTGCAGACTTTATTTTGGATCTGACCTTCGAAATTGAAAACAGAATAAAACATTAATGTGAAGCCAGGCGATATTTACATTCCTGGAGCATACTTCCTGTACTCCAGTCACTCGGCACACCTCGGCCGATTCGTACCTCATCTAACCTCGTTTGATGTAGTTCACGGAATCAGCCGAGATTTGCCGAATGGTACTCCAGTTTCGAGATCGTAACTCTCCTACGATAGAGGCGCAAAAAGTGTCCATTTCGACAGGGAGATGGGACATGTTGTTTCTGTATTCAAACGTGCATAAATAAAATGTTGGAAGTTTCCGGGCTTTATTTGGATTGATGGTCTTTGGAGATCATTTTGATGACCATCATCAGGCAGCGTCTACTGACTGAACATGAGCATCTTATGAAATAAACATGCAAATGAAATAAAATGTTTGTTAATAAGAATTTTTTAAATCAAATTTATTGTCATTACATAAATGTAAGATTTATTTTTTTTTATTTAAAAATATTCTATATCAAATTAATTATATTTGCTTAATATTCATAGGCTAGATCATCATGACAAAGTCAGGAGCGAGGGAGTATGAACGTACCTCCGCGATATTTGGTTCAAAAATCCTTCTTGTAAAGAGTTACTCCATCTTAATACTAGTTATCTAATTAATTAACTCGCAATAACACACAGCAGACGAAGAAAATGAAAAAAAAAAAGGAATAGACAGAACGAAAAACATGGACTGTATTACATGTACGAACGGACAGACAGAATTGAAAAAAAAATCACAATGAAAGAAATACATACATATATATATATTATTAGAGAAGGAGAGAGAGGGGGAGGAGATATTCAATAAAATTATGCAAAATACATATTAAACATGTATATTTTAGTCATTCCTATATTGTATTTTTTTTATTTTAAATTCTTCTGTTAGGTTAAATAAAATTACGTATATGTTCTGAAATATATGTGTTTAATAAAAATAAATCTAAGCGCCTCTGATCCTGAGTTAAATAATCTATTATTTCAAGAAAATCGGTGAACTATTAATTACTTTTCCAATATTTTTTGTTATGAAAACGGGTTTTATCTGCTTATATTTAATATATAAAGTTGTAATAATTTTAAGTTTGTTTTATAAAATGCGTGCATATTTAGTTTTCGTCAATCGCAGAGAAAAACGACCACGGCGCTCAAATCACTGACTCTCTCGTGATTTCAGCAAATTGAATCATGATCAGTTACGGACCTTTCATAAAAATCTGAGATTTATGTGCTGTAGTGTAAATTTTTGTCGAACCACTGATCTATGAAGTCTTTAATATTGTAAACGTCCCTGTGGATAAAGTAAATGAAATATTTTCCCATCAATTTTACATTTCAGCATATCTATTAAATGATGCTTAAAATTATCCTAAAAGTAGATTTAAACTTTATGTACATGAAACTTTCGATAAATATAGTTAGGAACTAAGAAAACCATAATTGAGATTTGGAATGCATGTTTTACATTTAAATTTTCACATTCAAGCACAATTATTTTATTACTCGCATAGTCTTAAATTACATTGTACTATATTTTTTTCTTCTTTTCGCTACATTTTTTATTAAATCGTTTGAACCATATCTAATGTGTAAATAGCTAATGTTTGTACACAAACAGAAAAACAAGCAAACAAAACATGCTATCAATTTCTTTTTATTCAAGTGCTGAAAACAATCAGAACATTTCATATAAGTGACTCGTGAACTAATAAAATTATTCGTTATCAATACATGTAAAGGAAAGGGTATACATATTATATATATTATATCATCTTAATGTACATGCATATGTTATAATGGATATCAAACAGTTAAAACGATATTCAAAATGTTCATGCCATAGGCACTTGGGGTATGGTGGACCCCCCCCCCCCTTCCATTTTTTTTCTTTTTAAATCTGGGTTCAAGTCATCTTTTTCCTATTTTTCTATTCTAATATGCACTATATGTTATCAAAAATGCAACTCTTTTGTCTCTACAAGCTGTTTTTAAAAATGCCGTTTTCCACTGATCAATACATCTTTATATGTATCAGTGGAAAACGGCATTTTTAAAAACAGCTTGTAGAGACAAAAGAGTTGCATTTTTGATAACACATAGTGCATATTAGAATAGAAAAATAGGAAAAAGATGACTTGAACCCAGATTTAAAAAGAAAAAAAAATGGAAAGGGGGGGGGGGGGTCCATCCCCCAAGTGCCTATGGTTCATGCATATAAAATAAATATATATATGGAAGATAATTTCGTCATAAATTAACAAAGTTAGAATTTTTTCAAATAATAATATAATGTTCCGGAAAATATAATAAGAGAAGGAAGTCTCGCTATGAATGGGGGAAGGCTGGCTATAAAGTGAGCCTTCCCCCGGAAGAACGGCTACCAGGGTATATAGTGAAACTTCCGTGGGGGAAGTCTCACTATATAGTCATTCTTCCGGGGGGAAGGCTCACTATATAGCCAGCCTTCCAGGGGGAAGAATCACTATATAGATATAGTGGGCCTTCCGGGGGAAGCCTCACTATGGGGGAAGTCTCACTATACGGATCTTGCCATAATGATGTTGCATCTTGCATCTACGATGTCAGATACGGGCGTCAGCACGGGATTTTAACCATATTAATATCGGATTCTCATACAGGATTTGTAACTTGCATGTCAACATAATTATCTTGCATGTAGACATAATTATCTTGCATTTTGACATATTTTTCTTGCATGCTGACATAATTTATCTTGCATGTAGAGGGCAGATATATGCCACCATAGACTGTGCTTTGTGTGTAAGAAGTAGATTGTAAGAGTTATAGTTCTTACCGTGGTTGCAAATCAACATTCATGATGATACAATCAGCCTTGTTCTGCATATATGTGAAAGCTATTGTAAATGCCTACTTTATTTTATAAGTTTAAAAACAGATTGCGGATCGAAATATAATCGTCGAAAAGCAGGTTCAATAATTTCAATAAACGGGGGTTGGGGTTGGGGGGAGGGGGGGTAGGGGGTTAATGGTTGAAATCAACCTTTATGGACTTTAAAAAAACAAACAAACATAAAAAAGGGGATAAAACGAGAAAAAGAGAGGGGCTATAAGTTATATTTTAAGCATGTGGATGCATTCTGAGATTTATTTCATCTTTTTCGACAAACATTTCATCTGAGTCGTTTGAAAAGCGTCTAATGTTACGTACACATATTGTTTACACATTTTTTCTTCTTTTTCGTCTTTCAGATTCTTTCTAATCATGTAAAACATCTACAGATATTTATAAATGTTAATGATAAAAGTTGTTGTAGGAAATAAATATTTTCAATATACATGTAGTTTATATATCGGTCCTTTTCAACATGTTCAAGAAGGCGATAGGAAATAATATAAAAAATAAAATTGATATAATTGTTTAATTTTTTTCTGTATAGGTACTTTTTTCCGCGTGTGATTAATTTACACGATGTACGCGGACATAATTTTCTCGCGGAAGTTTGTCACAGTATACATAAGATTCATTAAGGACATATAATGACAATCCAAGATATCCGCGTTATTTAATACTCGCGGATTGCTGAATAGAAATTGTGTTTCCGCGGAATTATGACCCCGTGGAATTTAGTACTTTTACAGTAGATTCATGCCGAACATAAATTTACCAAGATTAAACATTGTCATGGTTTTACCCCATTTTTTTTTAAGATGCTCTGGAAATATCAAGGCCTAATGTGACGTCGCGCACGGTACTGGTGTCAAAAAGTTCTAAATTACTATTGCGGCAGCATTTTCGCTTTTTTTTTTTTTTTTTTTTAATTTTAAAACAATTCACTATATGAAAACTATATATCATTCGATCGGTAATTGTATATTTAATACAATTTAACAAAAATATTGTTTTAAAAAATTCTATTTTTCAAAGATATTAATTTAGCTATTCCTTCAATTACGTGAAAAACGCATGAAGACCGGTAACAGGGGCGTCGCACACGCAATTACAAAATGTTGATAACTCTCTTAAAACGAACAATACAAACATAAAATTTGGCAGAAAAATTCAAAATATGATACAAATGATGTAAATTCTTAAAATTGTAATGTCATTCAATCCGTATGCTCTGAACGCGTCGCTCAAAATCCAAGACAGGGGAGACGCGCGTTAATCGACGAAATATGGGATACACATAAAAAGTCTTCTGGTACATGTACTTAGAATAATAATAACATGAGCTAAATCTATTTATAAATTACATCTCGATAATCCTTTTTGTTTGTTAAGAACTATGTTTTATAAATGACTAATAGTTTGGGTTGATATGTATGTTTGATCTCTGAAATTAAGCCGATTTATTGTGCGGATGTTGAATAGGATGCAATCTCTCACCAGAGGGCGCGCTCCGCTTACACGCCGGAGTGTCAATCTCTCACCAGAGGGCGTTTTTACGCTCCGCTCTAACAAGCGGAGCGCGCCCTCTGATGAGAGATTGTCCGGAGTGTGTCACAAAGTGTCACAAAGTTTTTTATAAGATTCGCTTTACGCTTAAAAAAATTAAATTGTACGTAAATTATCTTAAAAATCAATTTAATGTTTATTATATTATAAATAACATTGACATGTTTGGATATTTTATAAATGTTTTGGATTTTTTAAAATCTCTCTTACTTCCGGAAACAAAGTGTTCTGAGCGGGAATTTTCAGATTTTACAGGGTCATTTCCTAGTTACAGCCGTTGCTAGGCTCATTCATTATTCTTAAAAATGGCTGAGTGTTTTGAGAGAGGCCCTCTCAGCTTCCTTTGCTGGGAGGATGCGTTCCCCCAGCAAGCCTGGGAACGAAGAAGAAAAATGAATGTAAGTTTTTTCTTCCATTTCATTGCGACAATTTTACATAAATAGATTCGTGCATTTTCATGATTCTAGGAAAATCAATGGCTTCGGTCTGGGGATAGGGTAGATTTGTGTTTATTTATACAATCGTAGTTTTTTTTTTTTTTTACATATGTATATGCATATGATTGTTAAATTGTTAACTATGCTAAAAAACTACGTGGAACCAACCTAAAATATATATACGGGTTACCAATCTTTCATTTTCAGCAGCCCTCTAGTCCTCGTTTCACACTTGTAACCAAGGTCAAATTCATAAATCTACTTGATGAATTGTGTATTGTACCATTAAGGAAAAAATAAAAACAGGCTATGATCATTTTGAAATATTTTTGTCAAGGAACACAAGCGCATGGGCTTCTTGTTTACACCCAACATTGACATATTAGTACAAATTTCACCTGTTCTAATTAACCCCGCTTGAAAAGTGGAAGGTTATTTAGTAATCGTGATGTACGTCCATCTGTTAAGCTTTGGGGGTACCCATCCTTTGTGTGAGAGAAGAATAAATTCTCTCATACCACTGAATGAAATTTGATGAACCTTTCATCGAATCTTTATTACACATTGCCATTGTGACCTCCTATTCAACTCTCTGATCCAACACATATTTTGGTTTTTTCCTTTTGCAAAACATGGATACTGCCATTATTTTCATGATATGGGAGGCGGGGGTATCATTTAGTGCGCCTCATTGCTCACAGTACCTCTAGTTTCTTATGGTAGTGACTAGCAATTTACCAGTAAAGATTATAATACACTTATTGAAGCATACATCTAAGAATTTTTTTCTCAAGGGAAGGGTCTTACCCCCCCCCCCCCACCCCCCAAAAAAAAAAATGAAACTCAGTATAGAAAATCAAATGAACAAACACTCATACAGACAAAAGATAACTCCGCACCTAAATGAGAAAAACCTATTGAGTGGAAGGGGAGGGGGTTGTTGGCTTAGATCTTAAATCTGTCATGTAAGCACAGATTTAATTTTTTTTAACTCTACTGGTCAGAGACAAGAAGAGCCTATGCGATAGTAATGCGTCCGGCGTCCGTCTGTCTGTCTAGCTGTCTGTCTGTCTGTATGTAAACAATTTTTTCAAAATGCTTCTCCTGCTACAGTTTTGGTCTGGTTTTCAGCTCACCTGAGCCAAAGGCTCAAGTGAGCTTTTCTGATCAAAATTTGTCCGTTGTCTTTCGTCGTTGTTGTTGTTGTTGTTGTAAACTTTTCACATTTTCATCTTCTTCTCAAGAACCACTGGGCCAATTTCAACCAAACTTGCTACAAAGTATCCTTGGGTAAAGGGGATTCAAGTTTGTTCAAATGAAAAGCCAGGCCCTCTTCCAAGGGGAGATAATAATGAATTAGAGAAAAATTAATGGCATTTTTTAAAAAATCTTCTTCTCAAGAACCACTGGGCCAGGGAAGATGAAACTCATGTGGAGTCATCCTCAGGTAGGGAGGTTCAAGTTTGTTCAAATCATGACCCCCGGGGATAGGGTGGGGCCAAAATGGCTGATCAAAGTTTTACATAGGAACATATAGGAAAAATCTTTAAAAATCTTCTTCTCAAGAACCACTGGGCTAGGAAACATGAAACTCATGTGGAATCATCCTCAGGTATTGAGGTTCAAGTTTGTTCAAATCATGACCCCCGGGGATAGGGTGGGGCCAAAATGGCTGATCAAAGTTTTACATAGGAACATATAGGAAAAATCTTTAAAAATTTTCTTCTCAAGAACCACTGGGCCAGGAAAGATGAAACTCGTGTGGAATCATCCTCAGGTAGTGTAGAATCAAATTTGTTCAAATTATGAACCCCGTGGGGTAGGATGGGGCCAAAATGGCAGATCAAAATTTTACATAAAGATATAAAGGACAAAAATTTTAAAAACCTTCTTCTCAAGAACCAATGGGCCAGGAAGGATGAAACTCATGTGAATTTGCCTCAGGTAGTGAAGATTCAAGTTTGTTCAAATCATGACCCCCGGGGGAAGGGTGGGGCCAAAATGGCCGATCAAATTTTTACATAGGAATATATAGGAAAAATCTTTAAAAATCTTCTTCTCAAGAACCACTGAACCAGGAAAGATGAAACTCATGTGGAATCATCCTCAGGTAGTGAAGATTCAAGTTTGTTTAAAGCATGACCCCCGGGGGAAGGGTGGGGCCAAATGTCCGATAAAAGTTTGACATAGGAATAAGAAACCTTTTAAAATCTTCTTTTCAAGTACCCCGTGGGGATCCGGGTAAGAATAGGTCCTCAGTACCCCCTTGCTTGTCGTAAAAGGCGACTAAATGGGGCGGTCCTTTGGATGAGACCGTATAAACCGAGGCCCCGTGTCACAGCAGGTGTGGCACGATAAAGATCCCTCCCTGCTCAAAGGCCGTAAGTGCCGAGCATAGGCCTAAATTTGCAGCCCTTCACCGGCAATGGTGACGTCTCCATATCAGTGAAATATTCTCGAGAGGGACGTTAAACAGTATACAATCAATCAATCATCTTTTCAAGTACTTCAAAGCCATGCTTAGTGATATTTATAGGGAATCAAGCTCAGGTTGTGTAGATTCTAGTTTGTTCAAATCATGATTCCCAGTGGGTTAAAATTCAAGCCCCCCCCCAAAAATCAGTAAGCTTTCAGTTCTGATCTGATATGTGCTTTTTCCCTAGCCAATTGCTCAGGTGAGCGATGTGGCCTCTGGGCCTCTTGTTTGACTTGGATGTGTTGCCTTGGTTACTAAAAATAGAAAATTTTGGGAAATACTTTGAAAATGCTACTCCAAATACAGATTAAGTCTGATTATAATATAATTTGGCATGCAAGTAGACTACATTTAGTTACATAATTATCGGCTTTGTGATTTTGATTTTGATGATTGATGTTGCCATCGTAATTAACTAAAACTGAAAATTCTGAAAAGTTTTAAAAAAGTTTTAATAAAAGCTACTCCTACAGTTGTAGTCTAATTGCAATCTTGCCACAAAAAGAGACTTAATCAAGGATCATTATTCTATTTATTGCTTTTGTAAAGTTTTAAGTCCCAACTGCTTCTTTTCTCCTCCTTTATAATAAGTACAAACCAGTAGAGCTACAGTCTCGACAGAGACTTCTGGTTTTAAAATATAAATTACATTAGAATCCAGTGCAAATACCCATCATGTTAAGCATTGAAGATTCAGATTGGTATCAAAATCTCTATCAACTTATGTAATAAACAGTGTTTTAAATCTTATTAATAAACTTAAGGGATTTCGATATGCAGAGTGAATAATTTCTAATGATTTTGAAAAAAAAAATTCCTGCTGTAAGAATTTGTGAATTAAACTTTTTCATTGAAAATACTTCATTTGTTCTCACGCTTAATGGTACTTTTCTGAATCAAAGATATTTATTATTGAAGTTTATTTCAAAAGCTCCAGAAAACAGCTGAATCCAAGCCACCAACCCTTCCTCCTCCTTCTGAGCCGGTGACTAGCAACATCAGGCGAGCAAGCAACCTGGTTGCACAACAATCACCCCAATCGCCGGAGTTTGGACGAGGTTGCAGTGGTACGTATTATGTGTGTAGTTCAAATTCTTGTATGACAGTCTAGGAATTGGAATCTGTATTTTTGTCAATAACCATCTTGCATGCATTTTTAGACCCTTTTCTTAAATGTTTTTTTTTTCTTAACAAAATTGATTTTGGCCAAAATTAAACTAATTTTCTGTAGATGCCAGATGATATGGTGCTAATTATCTTTTCACAAATTTTACATGTTTTTTTTTCATTACATTAAATTACATTACATTCTTTTATTAAGAATTTCATTTGTGTTTTATAGAAGAATATTTATAAACTCACTATTTTCAAACCAACTGTAACCATGTATTTTTTCTCCTAGTTTTAAATGCACTGTAAATAAGAGTCTAAAACATAAATTATGATCAATATATAATTCATTAACTTTTTTATAACTTAAAATAGAAATGTCTTAAAAAAATTCATTTTAATACAATAGTTTTATACAAGCATTGTTATGTCATTGCATTACGACGTCACAGTAATGAAAACCAGTTGCAGTATCTGTTTTTAGAAACATCCAGTCTATAAAGACTATTGTGACGTCAGCACTATTGTTCCTTCATAGAAAAACGTTTCCAAATTTAGAAACAGCAGGTTTATAAATTTTTAAAATAGAAACATCAAGTCTGTAACACTTTTTATACTTGATCATGTGATCCAGTTTGAGCCAATCAGATAGTTGGAACAATACAGAAAAATAATAATATAGAATATCATTTAATTTATACTCATCATCAACATAGACTTAAAATGAAAAAATAAGAAATCAATAATCAATATTATTATTATACCTCATTATAAATATTCTACACAACGCGTTATCTGATTGGTTCTCGGTTATCACGTGATAGGGCAGTAAAACTTCATATTTCCCGTCGACGGCACGCTTTTCATCATATTCCACCTTTTCGGAACACCAAGTAAATTTTCCCGCAATATAGTTCTCGTTCGTTGAACGAAAACTCCCGAGAATAGTAGACGTCACAATAGCCTGGTTTACGTCACAAAACTGATGACAATGTGTTGACCAAAGGGTTTTATAGTAACTTTACGTTAACAATGGTGTGAATTAGAGAGCGGTGCCGAATTTGAAAGTTTATGTTTATTTTGAAGGTTTTGCTTGTTTCGGTATAATAAACAATTCATTGCATGAATGTTCGGGAAACATGAAGACTTATTCAGCCAAGAAATATCATATTCCCCCCGGGCGAAGCCTTCGGGGAATATGATTTTTCTTAGCTGAATAAGTCTTCATATTTCCCTCACTACCATGCAATAAATGTATAATATTGTTTAATTTATATTTATCTTCAACAAAGTCTTTAGGGCATAATTATTATTCGGGATATTAGGGTCACACTATAATTGTTTAATAATTTCTTGAACTGTACTAAGCATATGATCATCACACATACGTACAAGTGAGATACATGTTATACTCAGTATTGTGAGTATTGGCTCACAGATTTTCTTTTTAAATTTCCAATACAAAAAATTAAACATTTCTATTTATACAGCTTTCAAAAGATACAGCCCCTCGCTTAGTACTGTCAGCAGTGAGGGTAGCTACTCAAATGTCAGTGGTAAGTACTTATACCCCTGTCTGAAGGCAAGGGGGTTATACTGTTTTACCATTGTGTGTCTGTCCGTACCGTACATAACACATTTTTGTAGCAGTTTTCTTAGCAACTACTCATTGCAATTGCTGGAAATTTTAGCACACTTTATGCCATATGATGGAATTTTTTTTAATTGATTGGTTGAAGAAATGTTGTTTAACATCCCTCTTGACTCTCGAGAACTTTTCATTCATATGGAGACGCCACCACTTGCGGGTGGAGAGCTACAAATTTTGTCACATACTCGGCACTCACGGCCATTGAGCAGGGAGGGGTCCTTTTTCGCGCCAGCACCTACAGCGATACGAGTCCTTGGTTTGTCATTTCATCAGATGGACAGGTCTCCACATCCCACAGTGAGATTCGAACCCGGGACGTAAGGATAAACACCTTACTTTCCAACTCTATCCGCTGCGCCACGCGTGCAACAATTTAATTTTATTTTGTATCAATCTGATGTCAATACTTTAAACCAACTTTTATTCGCGTGCGATTAATTTTCGCGAAGTTTGCGACAGCCTCTTCATCGCGAATATTTCTCGCCGCGAACCAGTCCTTAAGGTCTCTTTGTCTATAAACATCAGATTTTAAAAAAAAAAGGCTTGATCGCGGAAATTAATCGTCGCAAACTAGTTTAACTTCGGTAAATCGCGAAATAAAGTCGTCGCAAATAAAAGTGTGTTTACAGTATCTTTTTCTTAAAACGAGCGGGGGTATAACTAGTGAGCATTGTCTCACAGTCTTCTAACGTTTACTTTTATCTAACAAATTATTTGCATTACAGCTGTTGAAAAGAATTCTTCCCAAAAAATATTTATCTTATGGATATGAATTTAGAATAATAACAGTTTTTGGTTTGTCTTTTTAAAAACCTATGACATCACAGGAGGATAGAAATACCTTAAATGTTCTTCATGACCATCTTGCATTAATTTTAATCTATGAGCCTTTCTTTTAATTCTGAAATATATTGTTTCATTATTTTGAATGTACTTTGTTTTTCATGGCCTATATCTTTATGCTGTCCTCTTTATTTACTTTTTTTTTATATTAAATTTTCTTTTCACTTTTGTTTTAAAAATGACATAAAGGCCCGACAGGCCGAGTGTTTTTGTTATTTTATTCAATTTCAAATTTTTCTTGGTCTTGACAGTAAATTTAGAATTCTATGAAGTTATAACTGGTTATTTCTTATATGATCTTTTTAACCATTTCTAAGTTATTATGTCATCTTTGAAATCACTGGTAAGTAATTGTATATTTCTTTTTATCACTTATCAGTTATTATATAATGCTTGTCATAACTAGACAGTTTTTATATAATCCTTGTATTTACTGGTAAGCTATTATATAATCCATTCATATACTAGTTATCCGTGTAAACCATAGGCGCTTGGGGTATGGTTCCCCCCTTTTTCCTTTTTTTTCTTTTTAAATATGGGGTTGAGTCACCTTTTTCCTATTTTCTATTTTATTATGCACTTTATGTTATCAATAAAGTTACTCTTTTGTCTCTACAAGCTGTTTCTAAATATGTCGTTTTCGTCTGATACATATAAAGAGAGAAGGCTTGCAACTCTTTTCTCGTAATCTGCCTCACCTTGCTTCAACTTCGCTCGATTATTTATCTAAACCTGAATAAAACATTGCATATGCATACATTGACAAATTTGTTATACATTCCTCTTCCTTTTCACATTTCCATTTAATTTTTATGTGCCCCCGATTTGTACATATGTCGAAGAAATCTCTCGCATCTAGGGTAAATTTTGTTGATGTGCAAAAACGACAAATTTAAAAACAGCTTGTAGAGACAAAAGAGTTACATTATTGATAACATATAGTGCATATTTATTATTAGAATAGAAAAATAGGAAAAAGGTTATTCAACCCCAGATTTAAAAAGAAAAAAAAGGGGGGGGGGGTCCATAAACCAAGCGCCTATGGTGTAAATACTAAAAAATCTCACTGAAAACGTCATTTCTTAATTATTACAATCACTGGTAACATATTTCAAAATTCTTGTATACACAGGTAAGCTATTTCATAATCCCTATTTTTACTGGTATATTTTTACCCTATTTTTAGCTCTACTGGTCAGAGACCAGAAGAGCTTATGCGATAGTAATGCGTCCGGCGTCCGTCCGTCCGTCTGTCTGTCTGTCTGTCTGTAAACAATTTTTCAAAATGCTACTCCTCCTACAGTTTTGGTCTGATTTCAATATAACTTGGCACACAAGTAGACTACACTAAGATACATAATTCTGTGTATCGGTTTTTGATTTCGATGAACGGTGTTGCCGTGGTTACTAAAAATAGAAATTTCTGTGAAATTCTTTCAAAATGCTACTCCTCCTACAGTTTTAGTCTGATTTCAGTATAACTTGGCACACAAGTAGACTACACTAAGATACATAATTCTGTGTATCGGTTTTTGATTTCGATGAACGGTGTTGCCGTGGTTACTAAAAATAGAAATTTCTGTGAAATTCTTTCAAAATGCTACTCCTCCTACAGTTTTAGTCTGATTTCAGTATAACTTGGCACACAAGTAGACTACATTAAGATACATAATTCTGTATATCGGTTTTTGATTTCGGTGAACGGTGTTGCCGTGGTTACTAAAAATAGAAATTTCTGTGAAATTCTTTCAAAATGCTACTCCTCCTACAGTTTTGGTCTGATTTCAATATAACTTGGCACACAAGTACACTACACTAAGATACATAATTCTGTGTATCGGTTTTTGATTACGATGAACGGTGTTGCCGTGGTTACTAAAAATAGAAATTTCTGTGAAATTCTTTCAAAATGCTACTCCTCCTACAGTTTTGGTCTGTTATCAATATAACTTGGCACACAAGTAGACTACACTAAGATACATAACTCTATTTATCGGTTTTTGATTTCGGTGAACGGTGTTGCCGTGGTTACTAAAAATAGAAATTTCTGAGAAATTCTTTCAAAATGCTACTCCTCCTACAGTTTTGGTCTGATTTCAATATAACTTGGCACACAAGTAGACTACACTAAGATACATAATTCTCTTTCTCGGTTTTTGATTTCGGTGAACGGTGTTGTCGTGGTTACTAAAAATAGAAATTTCTGAGAAATTCTTTCAAAATGCTACTCCTCCTACAGTTTTAGTCTGATTTCAATATAACTTGGCACACAAGTTGACTACACTAAGATACATAATTCTTTGTATCGGTTTTTGATTTTGTTAAACGATGTTGCTGTGGTTACTAAAAATAGAAATTTCTGAGAAATTCTTTCAAAATGCTACGTCACTTACAGTTTTGGTCTGATTTCAATATAACTTGGCACACAAGTACACTACACTAAGATACATAATTCTGTATATCAGTTTTTGATTACGATGAACAGTGTTGCCGTGGTTACAAAAAATAGAAATTTCTGTTAAATACTCTCAAAATGCTATCCGAAATACAGTTTTAGTCTGATTATAATATAATGTGGCATGCAAGTATACTACACTAAGAACATAAAGAGATTTAATCAAGGATCATTATTCTATTGCTGTTGTAAAGTTTCAATTCCCAACTGCTTAAGTACTTTTCTCTTCCTTTGCTATAAGTACAAACCAGTAGAGCTTCAGTCTCGACAGAGACTTCTGGTTACTGGTATATTTTTATAATCCTTGTTAACTGATACATTATTCATTGCTAAATTATCCTTGTAATCATAGGCTAATACTGATAATTGTGATCACTGTTTATATGTTATTATATATAATCCTTGTAATCACTGTTTAGTTATTTTTCAATCTTTGTAAGTACCCTTAAGTAATTATATAATCATCACTGGTAATTCATTAAATAATTCTGGTAATCACTGGTTATTTATTATATAACCATTGTAATCACTGGTGAGAATTTACTGTCTTGCCTCATTCCTGCATATTATAGATTTGAACTACATAGACATTTTCCCATTGATAGGATCCAACACCTCAAGACGGTCACCACGAAGTGTGACAGGGAAGTCCAGTGAAGGCTCCTTAAATGGCAGTGGTAAGTTATATAATCCTTAATAATCATAAACTCCTTGTTACCACTGTTAATTAAGTAACTATATAATCCTTGTTACCATTGTTAAGTTATTATATAATCCTTGTTACCACTGTTAATTAAGTAACTATATAATCCTTGTTACCATTGTTAAGTTATTATTAGCTCACCTGAGCCGAAGGTTCAAGTGAGCTTTTCTGATCAAAATTTGTCCGTCGTCTGTCGTTGTCGTTGTTGGCGTTGTCCTTGTAAACTTTTCACATTTTCATCTTCTTCTCAAGAACCACTGGGCCAATTTCAACCAAACTTGGCACAAAGTATCACTGGGTGAAGGGGATTCAAGATTGTTCAAATGAAGGGCCACGCCCTCTTCCGAGGGGAGATAATTATGAATTAGTGAAAAATTAATGGCATTTTTAAAAAATCTTCTTCTCAAGAACCACTGGGCCAGGAAAGATGAAACTCATATGTGGAATCATTCTCAGGTAGTGTAGATTCAAGTTTGTTCAAATCATGACCCGCGGGGCGAGGGTGGGGCCAAAATGGCCGACCAAAGTTTTACATAGGAATATATAGGAAAAATCTTTTGAAAATATTCTTAAGAATCATTGAGAAAGGAAATATGAAACTTAAATGAAATTATCCTCAGGTAGTGTAGATTCAAGTTTGTTCAAATCATGACCTCTGGGGCTAGGGTGGGGCCAAAATGGCTGACCAAAGTTTTACATAGGAATATTTAGGAAAAATCTTTTAAAAATATTCTTAAGAATCATTGAGAAAGGAAATATGAAACTTAAATGAAATTATCCTCAGGTAGTGTAGATTCAAGTTTGTTCAAATCATGACCTCTGGGGCTAGGGTGGGGCCAAAATGGCTGACCAAAGTTTTACATAGGAATATATAGAAAAATTCTTTAAAAATCTTCTTCTCAAGAACCACTATGCCAGGAAAGATGAAACTCATGCGGAATCATCCTCAGGTATTGTAGATTCAATTTTCTTTAAATCATGACCCCCGGGGCTAGGATGGGGCCAAAATGGCTGACCAAAGTTTTACATAGGAATATATAGGAAAAACTTTAAAAATCTTCTTCTCAAAAACCTTTGGGCCAGGAAAGATGAAACTAATGTGGAATCATCCTCAGTTAGTGAAGATTCAAGTTTGTTCAAATCATGACCTCTGGGGCTAGTTTTGGGCCGAAAATGGCTGACCAAAGTTGTACATAAGGATATATAGGGAAACCTTTTAAAATCTTCTTTTCAAGTACTTCAAAGCCATGATTAGTGATATTTTTCTATTTATATGGAATCATCCTCAGGTAGTGTAGATTGTACATTGTTCAAATCATGACACCCAGGAGGGTTAAAATTCAAGCCCCCCCTTCCCCCAGTAAACTTTCAGTTTTGATCTGATATGTGCTTTCTCCTAGTAGATGTGCTCAGGTGAGCGATATGGCCCTTGGGCCTCTTGTATAATCCTTGTGACCACTGTTAATTAAGTTACTATATAATCCTTGTTACCACTGTTAAGTTATTATATAATAATTGGGATCACTGTTAAGTTATTATATAATCTTTGTAATTACCCTTAGGTTATTAGATAATCTTTGTAATTACCCTTAGGTTATTATATAATCTTTGTAATTACCCTAAGATTATTATATAATTCTTGTAATTACTGGTCATTTATCATATAATCCTTGTGATCACTGTTTAGTTTTTATATAATCCATGTTATCACTCTAAAGTTATTATATAATATTTGTAATAACCCTTAAGTTTTAATATAATTTTTGTAATCACAGGTACTAAATTATTTAGTTATTTATTATATAATTCTTGTAATCACTGGTTTTTATATTATACAATTCTTGTAATGATAAGTTAATAAATAATCCTTGTAATCAGGATTTCAGGATTTAGTTTGTTGCTTTCTTAAGATCTATTTTGAATAGAGAATTAATTGATATATCGCCTCATTCCTGCATATTATAAATTTAAACTACATAGACATTTTCACATTGATAGGATCCAACACCCCTAGATCGTCACCACGAAGTGTGACAGGGAAGAGCAGTGAAGGCTCCTTAAATGGCAGTGGTAAGTTATATAATCCTTAATAATTATAAACTCCTTGTTACCACTGTTAATTAAGTAACTATATAATCCTTGTTACCACTGTTAAGTAACTATATAATCCTTGTTACCACTGTTAATTAAGTAACTATATAATCCTTGTGACCACTGTTAAGTTATTATATAATAATTGGGATCACTGTTATATTATTATATAATCTTTGTAATTACCCTTAGGTTATTATATAATCTTTGTAATTACCCTTAGGTTATTATATAATTCTTGTAATTACTGGTCATTTATCATATGAGCCGTTCCAAGCAAAAACCCCCCTTATGTAATCTGACAGAATTTTACGTCACAGTAGAAAAAGCGACGTCATAGTTTTGCAACAAAAACTGCGATTAAAATATATCGCGCACTGACTGCGTTCCAACTTCTTGCTTTGCTTTACGTCACATAATTTTCTCCGTTGTGCTTTCTTCATATTTTTTTTTTATGATTTTGTCTATTTCATAACATATCTGACTCTGATTGTTGTCAAACTCCATGTGCATTACACATTCAAACGGCCTAAGAGTGTCCTGATTAAATACAAATAATTTGTCAACACTTCGACGATTATTCTGTTCCATCTACAATATAAGTTTTCTGTTAAACTAAATCAAACATGAAATTGTTGTTTAAAATTCAGATTTATGACTCTTTCTTATTCAACAACGACAAAAAAAAATAATTACGTGTACGTGCAATGTTGATATTGAGTGTAAAAATATTTTTAAGGAGGAGTAGTTTGAAAACTTTTTTTGTAAACTGAAGTCTTGGCGAAAATTGATTGGACTTAATCACGTCAAGAAAAATGCACAGGAATTTATCACCCATCAAAACTGAATGACAGAATTGTTAAACCACACCAATGCCAGATCTAATTAAAATCCGGGGTATTTTTTTTTATTTATTGTAGACCCAGAACCTCTTGGACGAAAGTGACACTAGTTTAGCTAACAAAGCAACATTTATTGAATAGACGTTTATCCGACGTTCTCCTTTTTGTTATGTGTTTAAAAGATCGATTACTTGTTAATACTGTTGTAAACCCCCACCATCACCACCAAAAATTTTTTAAAGAATATATGTCATAAAGCATATATAGAAATAAATACATACATGTATATCTTTTTAAAAAAAATGGGAAGATCTGAAAATTAAGTACCGTATTTGACATGCACACGTACATTATTTATCTAATTGCTTGTCAAGTTATTCTACCCCCCCCCCCCCCCGAGCATCATTCATGCATGCTAATATTAACAGTGAAAATATACATTCAGAAAAAAATGCGGAGAGGGGCCCCATGCAACCCCCGGAATTGATTTTTTTATGTGCATGATTGTATATATATAATCACAATATTTGTTCACCTGAGTGTAAATCGAATGCAAATAAAATACATTTCCAAAATATTTTAATCAGTTTGGATTATCCCGATCTACATTTCGTCTAACATTGCAAGAAGTATAAATATGTTCGTAATTTTCACCAGGAAGATCACATGAAGGTGAACATAACCTGATTTTTTCCACAATGCTAGATCTTGGAAAATCATAGAGCTAGGAGTATTAAATCATATTATAAACACTTTTGTGGAATGATTTGAAAAACGTTCTGACATGTTTTTTAAACATATATGCATGGGAAAATATTTAAGCGTTATCATTTTTAGTGGACCTGTACCGAGACAAATCTTTGACATTGTAGATGCAAATGTGCATGAAAAAAAAAATAAATTGAGAAATAATTGTGAAGTTGAGAAGGGATTGAGATTCCCTCAATGAGACAATAAAATGACGAAACTCGTTGCATAAAAATGCAATCTTTAATTTGCTGTTCAATTTATTATCCTTAAACAACGTTTGTAATGATACAGAATGTCAGTTTAAAGTGCTTAATGAAAGATATGTGTGAAAAAAATCAATAATGATGTTGATACCACGAAGTATGCATTGAGCGGTCACCCATCCAAGGGTTAAACAGGCTCGCCGTTGCTTAACTTGCCTGAAATAGAGCGGGACTACCACATCACCAGAAAAGCAATCTCACTATAGCGAGGCAGTACAAGTCCCCTATATACTGTCCGCTACAGATGTTAAACACAAAAGTCGGAAATATCTTGCATAAAAAAGGTTTCTAGATAACTTGTCATCTTTTATCCTTAGCAGTGAAACTAAAGGTGGTGACCCTTTCTCAATGTTTAAATTTAAATACAGATGTAAATTGAATGTTTATATGTTGTTAAACGTCCGTCTCGAGATTTTTCAAAACTCATATGGAGACGCCACCACTTGCCGGTGGAGAGCTGCAAATAATGTCCTATACATGTAACAGGCACTTAGGGCCATTGAGCAGTGAGGGATCTTTTTCGTGCCAGCACTCACTGCCACACAGGGGCCGCGGTTTATACAGACTCATCCGAAGGACCGGTCTACATGTAAACTTAATTAGAAGACTAACACAAAAGTAACCTACTCACCTCCCCCCCCCCCCTTTCACTTTCAGAACACATGGACTTCTTGTAAGTTGGTAAGGATGGTCAGATATTCGAATATTTGATGTTAATGTAGTGACAGAGAATGGCCAGCATTCCTCCTCCTTCTGCACGCAATGGAACTTCTTTTCATGTGTGTAAAATGTTGGGTAGACTGGGATAGAATATATATTATACTAATATATGAGAAGCATTTTATTCAAAGACAGTCCAATGTGCAGATTTCGCACGTAAAACATGTTTTCTTTTCTATCAAATTTCTTTGTGTTTTTTTTCTATGAAGTCAAATGTTGTAGATTTGTGTCTATATGGTACTATATAAGTACTTTAAAAGCTGCTCTAAATACTAGTAGACCCCTGAATAACGTTTTTCTTTGTCTCAATTTTTTTTTTCGATTTTGACTAACTGGTACATATTCAGAGGACCTTCATGATAAGTGTTGACCTGTGAAACTTGCCTCATAACAACCTTTTTTTTTAAACTGTGACATGCATGTGTTTTTATACTTAAGATCGGATCGCATATTAAGAAAGTATAACCTTCACTTTCATAGATCAATGCGTAAAGCACAAGAGGATCGACTCTCAGATATAGATGGGGCTGTATCACGGTTCTCCATGAGCTGTTTTACTGTGTTGCTCCCGACAGAGTAAAATTTTCTCCGACACAGTAACGATTCAAATTTCATGCATGCCTGGCTGTATGTTTGACAATCTTTTCTGTATCAATTGTATTGTAGACAATTCTTTAAAAAGCTGAATCATATGCCTTATCCTTTTTCTCAGTTTTTCAGGTCTTGTTTTTATTAGTTATTTCATAATTTGAAATCTGGAAAGTACACATTCACTATTAATCAATTACAGATTTAACATGTACATGTATATATCTAGTCTACATTGCCTTTATATTAGTACTTATATATTTATTCTTTCATTGCCCCCCCCCCCCCTCCCTCCCCTTTTCCTTCTAATATTTTTAACAAATCAAGAAATAATTAAGCAAAGAAAATGCAAATGCAGTTGAGCATTTAAAAAAGGATAAATGGTACTCATCATTTACATTGATATACCATACTTTTCAAAATCCTTATGTTGTTTATTGATAAAAGCGCAAGCCCCTGCCCCTTAATGTTTCTCTTGGTCAGTGTTTTGAAGGCAAAGGTCTAAGAAGTAAAATCGGTTATAAAAGATAAATAAATGGGATATAAATTTTGTTTTTTGTTGTTGTTGCTGGTTTTGAAAGATTTCGGCTGAACTTAAGCAGTAAAATTGAAAGTGATTTTGTTCTTAATAAAAGACCTATCAATTATGTGTGATGACTTCAGCGAATCATGGGACTATTTAAACTCCACTGACATATCTTTAAATAATTAATATCAGAAAAGAATGAACTGAAGGTTTTTTATTCATAAAAAACAAAAAAAAAATGTTTACAAGAAATTAAGCATATATGTATTAGTCAGAACGGCAACACAATACCAAGTTATTGCGTATAAGTAATTCGTGTTTTTATTACGTTGCCATATATAACGTCGACGTCGCTACAAGAGAGAATTTATAAAATTTGACGTCAGCCGTATAAATGATGCATACTTTGAATACCTTTAAATCCGTAACGGAGCAAGATACACCTGTAATATTTACAGGTTCTATTCGCCTAAGGCTCTACATCATTTTTCAAGAAAAAAGTCATTTTCGAAAATTTTTGACACAAGGGGGGTTTTTGCTTGGAACGGCTCATATAATCCTTGTGATCACTTGCAATCTCTCGCATCTAGGGTAAATTTTGTTGATGTGCAAAAACGACATATTTAAAAACAGCTTGTAGAGACAAAAGAGTTACATTATTGATAACATATAGTGCATCTTTATTATTAGAATAGAAAAATAGGAAAAAGGATACTCAACCCCAGATTCAAAAAGAAAAAAAAGGAAAAAAAGGAGGGGGGTCCATACCCTAAGCGCCTATGGTGTAAATACTAAAAAATCTCACTGAAAAACGTCATTTCTTAATTATTACAATCACTGGTAACATATTTCAAAATTCTTGTATACACAGGTAAGCTATTTCATAATCCCTATTTTTACTGGTATATTTTTACCCAATTTTTACTGGTATATTTTTATAATCCTTGTTAACTGATACATTATTCATTGCTGAATTATCCTTGTAATCATAGGCTAATACTGATAATTGTGATCACTGTTTATATGTTATTATATATAATCCTTGTAATCACTGTTAAGTTATTTTTCAATCTTTGTAAGCACCCTTAAGTAATTATATAATCATCACTGGTAATTCATTGAATAATTCTGGTAATCACTGGTTATTTATTATATAACCATTGTAATCACTGGTGAGAATTTACTGTCTTGCCTCATTCCTGCATATTATAAATTTGAACTACATAGACATTTTCCCATTGATAGGATCCAACACCTCAAGACGGTCACCACGAAGTGTGACAGGGAAGAGCAGTGAAGGCTCCTTAAATGGCAGTGGTGAGTTATATAAACCTTAATAGTTATAAACTCCTTGTAATCACTGTTAAGTTATTATGTAACCCTTTTAATCACTGATAGTTCTTATAAACCCCTTGTAATCACTGTTAAGTTATTATGTAATCCTTGTTACCAAGTGCTGTTAATTAAGTTACTATATAATCCTTGTTACCACTGTTAAGTTATTATTAATAATTGGGATCACTGTTAAGTTATTATATAATCTTTGTAATTACCCTTAGGTCATCATATAATCTTTGTAATTACCCTTAGGTTATTAGATAATCTTTGTAATTACCCTAAGGTTATTATATAATTCTTGTAATTACTGGTCATTTATCATATAATCCTTGTGATCACTGTTAAGTTTTTATATAATCCATGTTATCACTCTAAAGTTATTATATAATTTTTGTAATAACCCTTAAGTTTTAATATAATTTTTGTAATCACAGGTACTAAATTATTTAGTTATTTATTATAAAATTCTTGTAATCACTGGTTTTTATATTATATAATTCTTGTAATCAATGATAGTTAATAAATAATCCTTGTAATCAGGATTTCAGGATTTAGTTTGTTGCTTTTTTAAGATCTATTTTGAATAGAGAATTAATTGATATATCGCCTCATTCCTGCATATTATAAATTTGAACTACATAGACATTTTCACATTGATAGGATCCAACACCCCTAGATCGTCACCAAGAAGTGTGACAGGGAAGAGCAATGTCTGCCCCATAAATGGCACTGGTAAGTTATATAATCCTTGTTATTACAGATGCCTTTATTATATAATCCGTGTAATCACTGGATATTTATAATATATTATTCTTTTAATCACTGGTTTATTTCACACTGCACAATTTGTTTTACAATTGTACATTAAAAAATATAACTTGAAATATTTTCAATCAGAAATGTTTTTATATACATGTACATGTATGTAATAATTAGAAAAGAAAATTAATGCTAAATGGCATTTCTAAGAACGGTAACTCTTCTTGTTTCTAAAAGATGGGAAATTCAATTCATTGTCAAATTCGTTATACCATCATGATTTCTAAATAACAAAAGGTGGCGGTTTATCGAGAATTAACTGTTTATTTGAGTCTCAAGTTTATTAGTTTTATGTAGATAATTAATACAATAATTATTTTGTAAGCCACCCTAAATTTACACCTGACTGAAAACTAGGCCAATTACTGATAAGTTTTTATATAATCCTTGTAATCAATATGAAATTATAACATGTATATAATCCTTATAATCACTGTTAGGTTATTATATAATCATTGTAATCACTGTGAAATTATTATTATTTTATCCCTCTAATCACTGATAATTTGTTATAATATATAAGCCTTTTAATCACTAGTAAGTCAT